TCAAAATGTAATTCCTTGGTAATCTGGGCTTTGGCCAAGACAAATCAAAATCATAGATATTTTACAAATGCCAAGTTTTCAGAGAAACAAAAAAAATAAATGCAATAGCAACAGATGCATTCTCCCCAGACATTTGTGTTGAGCCTAGCTATCTCCAGAGCCTGAAGAAAAAGGGGATTTTCATATTTCATTTTTATGAATAATAAATTCCTGGTTTCTTTTTAATGTCATCGAACTACATAGGAGTATGTTCACTCCTTGGAAAACTAACCACTTGAAATTACTGAGAATGAAAGAAGAAAAAGTGGGGAAGAAAAAGAGAAATGAGGAGGAAAAAGAAAGAAAAAGAGAGAGAGAGAGAGAGAGAGAGAGAGAGAGAGAGAGAGAGAGCGCGCTAGAAAAAAGCCCATATCTGGCTCTTTTATAAAACTGAAAGTATAATTATATTTAAAATTTTCTATTCAAAGAAAGACAATCATTTTTTTATATATTACAACATAGCAAAAAAAAATTAAAATTTTGTATCACTTAAGTGAAAAATTGTTTCTGAGGATGACAGACCTCTGTGGAAAGCATATGAAAAATCAGGGAATAAAATAATGAGCAACTCATTGAAGATGAGGAGTTCAGTACTACAGAATGAATATTTTTATACTTGACATCATATGTGTCTATTTTTAATTTTACAGTGAAATATTTATCTTAAAATAAAGCTAAGTTCATGCTGGGTAAATAGTCAAGAAGTTACTTTAAAAAGGCAAGTACAGAAGTCCTTCTCTATAGAGGTTAGCACTTTTCCAAAATAAAATATACTGCTTTGTAATATAATAAAATATTGATTTTAAAATTCTGTCTTTTAATTTTTTTTAAATTCTATCTTTTTAACTTTGAATATTCAGTGTCAACAGATCACATTTGAAATTGTCTCAATTTTTCTCAGAATTCTACTTAACAGAATCATTGAGATTGCCTTTTTAATTCTTTTTTGCTGTGAATTACATTACACATGCAAGGAAGTACCTAAAATAAAGACATGAAACTAATGTTTTGTTTTCTCTTTTTTAAATTAATAAATTTTATGCTTTAAACCACTTTTCTAGATTTACAGGAAAACCAAGCAGAAAGAACAAAGAGTTTCCATATGCACCTTCCCATCCCCAACATATATACAGTTTCCCTATTAACATGTTATATTACTGTGGTGCATTTGCTATAACTGATAAACCTACACTAATACATTATCATTAATTAAACTATGGAATTTACATAAGGATTCACTCTTTGTTTTGACCAATTTTATATATTTCCACAAATGCCAGGCCATACAGTATCACACAGAATGAATTCATTACTCTAAAAATTCTATGTACTATCTATTCATTTCCCACTTCTGCCTATAATTGCTGACAACCTCTGATATTTTTTTATTGTCTTCATAGTTCTATCTTTTTCATAAAGTCACATAGTTGAAACCACAGTCTTTTCAGAGAGCTTCATTCACTTATCAATAGACATGCATGGTTCCTCCATGTCTTTTCATGGATTGGTACCTCATTTTTTTTATTACTAAATAATACTACATTGTCTGGATATAGCACAATTTGTTTATCCATTCACCTATTGAAGGACAACTGGGTTGCTATTCACTTATTAAGGAAACAGATCTGGGGTTCTAGCTCAGAAGTAGAATGTGTGCTTAATATGTGTGAGGCCTTGAGTTTGATATCTAGCACCACTAAAACCAGAGTGGGGACTGCTGTAACATTCTTGTGTTCGTGTGAACTGTAAGATTTCAATACATTTGCGTAAATATGTTGGAGTATAACTTCTGGATGACATCACAAGGATGTGAATCTTATAAGAAACAGCCAGCTGTCTTCTAAAACAAGTGTATGTTCTGTGTTCTCCCCAACAATGAATGGCAGTCCCCAATGCTACACATATTCCTCTATAGTTGATGTTAACAGTGTGTTGGATTTTAGTCATTCACATACTTGTATAGTGATACCTCCTGTTTTACTTTGCAAATCCTTAATAATTTAAAGTAGACATCAGTTTATATGTTTATTTATCATATGTATCTGTGTGTTATATCTTCTTTAATTGTGTGTATGTTTAGAGCTCTTGCCCATTTTTAAATTGGGTATATGCTTTCTGATTATTAAATTTTAAGAGTTCTCTGAATACTTGGGATATAAGTCCTTTATCAGTTAAATATTTTGGAAATATTTTCTCCCAGTCTATGGCTTGTCTTTTCAGTGACATTCTCACAGCCAGAAGTTTTTCCATTTTAATGAAGTCCAAATTAACAAGTTTTCTTTCATGGATTATGCTTTTGGTGGTGTGTATAAGAAAGTCATCACTCAACCCAAGTTTACATAGATTTTTCCAATGTTTATCCTATGGTTTTACATTCAGTTTCACGATCCATTCTGAGTTCATTTTTGTGAATGGGAAATGATCTGTGTCTAGATCCCTCCACCCCCTTCTTTTTTTTTTTTTCCCCTAAACATGTGAATGTCTAGTTGTTCCAACACCACTGGGTGAAAACCCTGTACTTTCTCCACTGAATTGCCCTTGCTCCTTTGTCAAAGGTAAGTGGCTATACTTGTGTGGTCTATTTCTGAGCTATCTATCCCATTACAATGATCTATATGTCTCAATCTTTTAACAATGTCAAATTTTCTTGATTATTGTAGGTATATGATAAGTTTTAAATTTAGGGGGTGTTCATCGTCTGACTTTGTTCTTTTTTCCAATATTATATTGATTGTTCTGGGTCATCTTGCTTTTCTATACAAGGCAGCTTATCAATGGTAATAAAATAAATTGCTAGGATTTTGAGACTGTCTTGAATCCATATATCAAATTAGGAAGAACTGACTTCTTAACAATATTGAGTCCATCACTCCATGAACACAGAATATTTCTTCATTTAATTAGAGTTTTAATTTTCTTTCATCAGCATTTTGGTTTTTTTTCCTAATATTGATCTTGCATGTGTTTCATTAGATTTATACCTAAGTATGTTTCCTTTGGGGTGTTATTAATTTCAAGTCCCAATTGTTCATTGCAGGTATATAGGAAGGTCACTGACTTTTGTATATTAATCATGTGTTTTACAACCTTTCCATAATCATCGTCATTTTCAGGGGGTTGTGTTCTTGTTGATTCTTTGGGATGTGCTACAGTGATAAGCACGTCTTCAATGCACAGTTTTATTTCTTCCTTACCAATCTGAATTCATTTTATTGACTTTTCTTGTCTTCTTAATTTAGCTATGACTTCTAGTATAAAGTTAAGTAGAAGTGGTGAGAGGAATGTCCTTATCTTGTACCCAATCTTAGCAAAAAGTCATCAGGTTTCTTCTCACCAATAGCTTTTCATAAAGCATAACATCCCTGCAACCACCAGCCAGACAAACAAATAGAATGTTTCTAGCACACCAGAAGCTCCTGGAACCAACTCCTCAACTTACCACCTACCTATTATTTTAACTACTATCCTGACTTTTGTTGTAATCACTTCTTGCATCCATAAAAAAGTAGTCTAGTTTTGAAACTTAATATAAAAGAAATGATCCAGTGTTGTTTTTTTGTGTAGGGTTTTTTTCCACTCACTAGTATGTTTCTGAGATTCAACCATGTCACTGTTGCCATACTTCATTCATCCTCACTTGCTGACCAGCACAAGATCAGCAAAATGTTACTGTAAATGACATTATTTTTCAAACCTTCAACAACATCAAACCAATGAATAAAAAAGTTGTATGTGAAGAAAAACTGCTTCACTTCAGAGAAAAGAATGTTTGCAATCTTTTACCAAAGTGTCTTTATCTTGCCCAATGATTTACAATAAATTAAACTGAACAACTAGCTCAAATAACTAAAACGTTCCTCTTTGTATGAACAATTTCTTTTAAATATATAATTTGTCCTGAGTTAAAACGACAGATGTTCAGGTGCTCAGTGGGACTATAAGAATGGTCTAGATAACAGAATTAAACATTACGAAGATTTCTCGCCATAGGCCACTTTGACCATGCTATTAGATGCTAAGTCAATAAGAATATCACATACCAAATCTGTGAAGATTCATGTTTATGTTGGACAAAAACTGGGGGAATGTATAATTTGATTAACTCTAGAGCATGAACATACATTTTCTACTATATTATTTGGACTTCTAAACATCAAAATAATATTCTGTCATTGAGTTCTTTAACCAAGAAATGAAAAAGGCCATCAGTTAGGAAGCAAAAGATAAATTTCTGGCAGTTAAGCTAGAATATCATATTTCAAGTGCCTTATTACACTGGTTAACTTCCCAAATAAAAGTGTTGACAAAGAAAAAAGAATTTGTTCACAAATAGTCCTCCTAACACAAGCACTGGTTTCAATCAGAATTCTACCAACCAATTTCTGAACAGGAACTAAATTTTGTGTTTCTGTACAATCTTTGAATTTTTTCCTAACAGGGAACAGTCTTTCCAGTACACTGACCTGACAAAACTGACATATTTTTAGAGATCATATATACAAAGTCAGTGGAATAAAGTTTCACTATGCAAAGTGAAAAAAGGACTTAATCTCTCTCTTATCATATGGTGGATTTAAACGGAAATATTAAAATAGTCTTATAAAGAAATATAAAAAGGAAAGAACCAAAGTTTAAAGCAAAATGATTATGATGGTCCTAGTGTAGCTATTAAATCAAATGAAATTACCTTTTCATCAGAATACTCTCAAAATTTTTAACTGGTCTCCCTCAGAAAATACAATTAAAATCAATTCATTTTGCATTAAATATTATTATCCTAAGGCATCACTGTGTATACTAGTGAAATTTAACACAAATCAGCATGAAAAAGTTACCAACTAGAGCCACGGTATATTTTCTAAAGAATAAATCCAAATAAGATTTTTATTCACTAAGATTTGAAAAGGAAAAAAAAAAAAAAACTCTGAGGGATGGTAAACACAGAAAGCATGATGACTTACATTTGGAGGGATAGATGTTAACACTCTTTCCCAGGACTGAGGAATCTTACTCTTGCTTGCAATGATCCTTTCTTCAGAATATTTTTCTACTTCCAGAATATGCCAGGACGAAGCTTCAACGGACTTCTATTATCTGTTTGATCTAGGGGGAAATTACACTTTTAATCAGTTATTACAAATGCATCAGACATTTTCTCTTTCTGTTCCAGGATATGGGAGCTTCCCACTATTTTCTGTGGAATCTGAGGTGAACAGAAATACAGAAACTGCCTTGTTGAACGTTACAATAAATAAATGTAGAACTTTTAAATTATCAGCACTAAAAGAAACCCACATTTAACTCCTTTTTCATTTTTATGGCTAAGCAGCATAGCAAGAGAAAATTAATATTCAAAATCCAAATGACGGCAAAAGCCTACTCAAATGTATTTTTAAAAGACTTTAACATAATTTTGCAAATCCATGAGTTTGAATGGTCTGGCAGAGACGATTAGGTGTCAAATATTTTTACTCATTCATTTTAATGTCTTAGCGCTAAAGAATTACAGGATGATTAGAAAAGTGTAAAGGAAAATCCATTTTTAAAAATTTTAATGGAATAATAAAAAGAGATGATTTCGAGAGCATGAGACAGATCAGATACAGATAACACTGGTCTGTAAGACAGCAAGACATCTGGAATAAGAATTTTAAAGATGGTACAAAAGTTGGGAATAGGCTGTTCAAATAAGGCATATGGGGCAAATCAGAGTAAATTACATGAGTACATTCTAAATATGGTTTCATCTTAATTCTCTAACAAATGCATTAGATATTAAAATGCACCACATCCCACACCTTTCTTTCCAGGACACAGAAATATGCTGCATGAGTATCTGACCTTTGGTGGTATAAACATTCATAAGTTTAATAGAATTATTTCTGTTATACAAACTTTATCAAAATTTAAGTTTATAATAATGGGTATTTTCTGCCTCATTAAAATTAAATATTAAGATAAATGCCTTCAACTTGTGCCATACTCCAGATCATATTCCCGTGTCTTATCTTAAAATCACTCATTCTCTCATTCACTAAATAAAAATTTAGAGCATTTGGAGAAATATTTGTGGCAAAATTTGAAATAAAATATAATTTTTATGCTAATAAATATCTACTATGTTTTGAGGAAATGTGCATGATGGGACTTTAAAACCAATTATTGCTCAAAACCTTAACATATTACACTGGTGGTTATCATTTTAGGAAAACACTGTGAGGAAAGGACACAAGAATGATATGATGCAAAATCTATATCAGAAGAGCTAAATAAAAAATTAAAATATATGTAAGAAAAAAATACTTCTTGAAATTATTTATCTCATCATGAATTCTTGCTTGTGTGATTCCCCCTCCATTTTTAACCAATAAGTGGTACATGCAATCATTTACCTGGGATACCTCAAAATTGCTTAAAGGTGAAACAAATACATAAATTTGATTGCCAAAGATTAAAGCTACTAAAGGAGAAAACCCACTAAAGATTACATTTTAGGATTCTAACAAGCTGTTTTATTTTGTTTTCCAAAGATTCACCTACTCTTGGCCTAATTTTAAAGTCTTGCCACTAAAATTTATCAAAATGCACTTTCTATATGAATAGTTCCATATGACTGTTCAATCACAGGTAGTTTTCCTTTGGTTTCTGGAATATAAAAATGATTTTGCAATGTTGTGGGTCAGTGCAGATCAATGCACCTTCCTTTAGGGAAGCCTTTTGAACTGACAAAGGATGAATGATTGACATCAGTAACAAGTACTTTTTGTTATCCTGGACTGACATGTCATTTATAGCAATACCTATGCTAATTAATGCCATCCATACCTACCAAATGTGTCAGAGGAATATACCAGATTATGCCTTTTCACAGTGTATAGTATGAATGTGCATAAAATTACATTTAGATATGGAAATTCTTCCCTTTGTGATCAAGAATCACCCCCAATACACACACACACACACACACACACACTTTCTATGATAAAGAAAAACCCACTTAAAAGTGCAAATAGCCACACTTTGTTTTTTCTCTAGACACATTTTCTTTAGAAAAGCAAATTCCTTCTTGAAAAATTCAATATACTATAATCTTAACCCTAAAATACACAGTATCTAATGTACTAAAATACTAGTGAAGTCACTCTGCCACATTGAAATTTTGTTTGCAGATAATCTCAGCTACATTGGTAGCTCATTAGTAACTGGAAATCTGTATTAATTATCTTCATTTCAGACATAGTTTGGTATCTAAAAATCAGTTTTCCTACACAGTTAACTTCAATTAAGTCATCAAAACTATGTATACTTGTCAGAGAATGCATTATATACAGAGAAAGAGGCCAGGCCTGGTGGCACATGCCTCTAATCCCAGCAGCTCAGGAGGATGACATAGGAGGATAAGGAGTTCAAAGCCAGCCTCAGCAATGGCAAAGCACTAAACAATTCAGTGAGACCCTGACTCTAAATAAAATACAAAATAGGGAGGGGGATGTGGCTCAGTTGCTAAATGTCCCTGAGTTCCATCCCTAACACTCCCCAGAAAAGAAGAATTATTAATGTTAACAACTAAAACCAGTCATTAAATCAGATAAACCAATAAAGACCTTGTATCAGTGCCTGGAACAAAGCTAGCACTGAACAAATATGAACTATAATTAGATGACTATTCATCCTGAATTTTCTGGGATGGATGTAGTTCATGCCTATTGCATTTATTAGGAACTATCCTTTTCCCTCTCAAAAGTGTCCAAGTTTGAATGACAACTTGATACAGCCACTCAAAATACCACTAATGTATTATTCATTTATCATTTTATTTTTCTTTTGGTAAACAAATTATTATTTTTGTTGTGGTGATGGTGATAATCCATAATGCTGTCCTATGACAAAAATATTAAGATGGGTTTAGAATAAACAAGACTCCATTCTTTAACACTGACACAGATGTTTCAAGAGTTTACTGAATCCTCATATTCTTGAAGCTAAATATCAGGTCATCACCACCCAGCTGAAAAAATCCAAATATGATTTCTTAAATCCTAGCTTGCTTAATTTCTCAGCCTATGGTTTACTCTTCTTGAAATTCATTTGATTTACATGGCATCCCTCTTTCCTCATCCCTCTCCAACTTTCACATCACCTTTATTCAGACTCTGCTGGTTTGTATTCTGACATGTACCTTCTCAACAACTGTTTTCCCAATTGCCTTCTTAATCTGTAGTCTATTTCTTGTCATATCTACTACTTGTTGCAAATGAAGATTCTTATGGTTCAGATGGATCTTAAATGGATCCCAAAGGCTCATATGCTAAAGGCTTGATCACCAGCCTTTGATGCTACCGGGAAGTAGAAGAAGTCACATCATTGGTTGTGTGCCCTGTGAAGTGATTTCTAGGATCTAGCCCCTTCCTCTCTTTTTCCTGGCTTCTCAGCCACCACGAGGTAAAGAGACTTCTTCCCATGCACTCCAATCATGAGTTACTGCATCACCACAGGCCCAAAGCAATTGAGTCAAACAACTGTAGACTGAAACTTAAAACCACGAGCCAAAATAAACATTTCCTCTTTTCAAGTTTTTTTACCTTACATATTTTGTCACAACAATGGAAACTAACCAACACAATTTCCAAAAGTATATATCCAGTCTAGGCTTCTTTCCTGGCCTGCAGATTTAAAGTGCCTATTGAATATATAGTTTTCTATGTAGTTCCCTCTCATCCAATCTTAAATCCTTCAAATATACTACATAACAAAACCTAAGCTTTTTAAAAAATATATACATATGATAGTGTTCTTCCCAAATCAGATATCAAGGGAAGTAAAGGCTTGCAGAGGACTCAAGGATAACAGAAAATGAGGCATGTTAAACCCAAAGCCACTAGAATAATAGGCAATCTATTCCTTATCTCTCTTTTGTAATCCCAACCTATTTCACCTATGAAAACTGTTGCATAGAGGAGTTAGGATTCAAGGCAAATATTAATGGAAATAAAAATATATCATAAAGGTCACAAGATATAATACCCATAGACAAAAGTAGAAAGGCAGGGAGTAAGATTTTTAAAAGTTTGGATACTTTGTGGTAAAGTCTTTGTAGAAGTGTTTCTTAATCCTGATCAGATTCTTGCCATTTCTGCTTTGTAAGAATGCAGGTTAGTTTTAACAAATATGAATTTTCAAGACAAGCTGGAAAAGGTGTCCATGTCCGTGTGTGTGTGTGTGTTAGAGAGAAAGACACAGAGAAAACAGAGAGAAATTCAGTTTTTTAAGATTTAACAACTAAATTCATATTTAAAAAATAATAAAGCTAGGCAAATTACCTGCAAGCACTATAAGGGATAAGAAACATCCCTGTTTGATATCAGGAATAAATGATGGGCTATCTTGCAACCTTATGTAAAATGGATTCTAAAGAAAAGTTTGGTTTGAGTTCTGAACAACCAATAAAAAAATATTTTGCAAGACATTCCATTTACATTTTGAAAAATATTTACTAGTTAATTTTATTATCTTAAAACAAGCTATAAATATATTTTTCCACCTTCTTTTGCTGAGACTTTTATTTTCTGATGCCTCTTAAATGTCTTCACTTGAATATTCTGATTCTCTAATTCAAATTACCAGTATTTTGTGTATCTTCAAAATTTAAACTCCTGCCTTCTTTTTACTCAATACACCCAAGTTTTCTTAAATATATAACAAGAATATCAGATGCCTCTATAAACATCTTAAAAACAGGTTTCTCTAGCAATTCTGTAATGACAGTCTTTCCCTCAATGTCAAATTGATTCCTCACACCCACCAAATCCCTTCATCTTATCATTATTCTGTAGAACACACCCAACCTAACAAGGTTTCTCAAGCATAGGTTTTCAGGGTCTGTTAAAATGGCCTTAGGTAGACAGGAGAATTAAATTAATATCTGACTTGAATATATTTAACTTAAAATCATGCAAATATTTCCCTGATGCTTTTCCTCATAAGAGCATGTTTTACTGTTGTTTGAAAAAGGAGCTTCTCAATAAACCAAAATTTATTAGTCTAAAATCAAAGGCCCTACATTCTTAAGATCAAATCTGCCTCTTCTTTACTTTGTTCCACTA